AGATGGATTGACACAGTGACTGTCGTAATGGGGGTAGGTGCATTGGAAGCAGTGAGATGAGCTCAGTATAGGCCAAGGTTCAGAGTTATTGTACATAGGGTCACACTATGAGTCACAGGTGTCTCGATGGCACATAACAACAATAACAATATAATGACCCTCCTTGCCTCTCTACACTTTCCTGAATGAAAAATTTGGAGAGTGGTTTCTGTGTATGGATGGGACTGCGTGTTGATCAGGATATGGGGAAACTCTGGAAACCAAACAAATCTGTCTTGGAAGTAGTGCAACCAGATTGTTCCTGCTCCTTAGACGAGAAGATGGAAAGTCTTTATCTTGTATACCTTGTACATGTTTGGAGGAGGGTTCAAAATCAGCCTCCCGTGGTGGAGGATATGTGCTCAGCTTGTGTTTTCATGCCAGGAATCTGGCCAAACTCTTTTTCTCTTATGGGAAGGACCCGTTCTCTCACACTGGCCTCATATTCTTGGTCAGCACTTGTGCTAAGATCCCTGGGGCAGGCAGCACTGGCTTGTGAAGCACACTCCTGGGCTTTAGGTAGTTGCCTCACCATCTCTGCTAGCTCACTCAAGGGACCCTCACTACCTGGGCACTTCAGATCATTTCGTAAAGATGGAAATAACAATATTAAAAAATTGCTAACACCATATCGAGTTTGCTCTTTTCGGGACCCTGTTCCAGGCATCCTTCTTAATCCTCACCCTAATTTCCCTTTGCAGGAACTCCAATTGAGTCTAGTCTAGTGGAGATTTCCTCTTAGTTTAGCCAAGCATCTCACCTTGTACCTTTTACATCCCATAGATCACTCTGCGGGTGGACAGTCTAGCCTGGGTGTGGTCTACGTGGTCCTCATTGTGGTGGCCGCCTTTGCCTTGGTGACAGGCATAGCTGCCATCCTGATCACACGCTACCAGAGGATGACTGGAAGATACAACTTCAAAGTCCAATCTGACAACTTCAGCTACCAAGTGTTTTACGAATGAGAGCTCCCTGGTGGAGGGTAAGGAATGAAATGGATGTGGAGCTTGTCCCAGCAAGCTTCTGCAGGAGAAGATTTGTGTGTGTCACTGGGGTAGCCCTCCTGAGAAAATCAGCCAGAGGCAGTTAGAGAGTGAGAAATGATTGATTAGTGATGAGTGATAGAGTTTTATCAGTTTATACAACCATGGTCACACAGGACCAGAAACAATGCAGTTGAAGGAGGAGCTTCTTGGGCTCCAAGTTCCAACTCCACCATCCCCATGTTAGGTAATCTTGACCAAGGTCTTGAACTTGTTGGTACCTCAGTCTCCTTATTCATAAAAAGGAGTGCTGGAGTTCTGGGTGAACTAACTCAGTATTAAAAGGACAAATACGGCATAGGACAATTATTGTAAAATTAGAAGGATAACGAGTAAAACATATATGAGAATCCAAGGTGGGAAGGGGTGGGAGTGGAGGGGTGAGGATGAAGAGGGGCAAAACCACAGGGTTGCACAGTTTGATGGGCGGAGGGAGGGAGTGAAGGAAATGGGAAGGATCCAGATGAAAATGACATGCAAGGTCCAATGGTGATGAATTTTATAGAACATAATGCATGAAAATGATTGTATGAAGCAATATAAATGAAGAATAGTGTGAAACACAATGTTTACAAACTTTGTAAGCAAACAAATATAAAATAAAAAAGAGAGGGGGAAAAGGGGAGTGGTAATAGTAACACCCACTTCGCAGAATGGTTTTGTGAGGGTCCAGTAAGAAACTGCTCTTTTTAAACTCTGCTGTCAGGTCAGAACTGACTTATCACTGACCCTCCAGCAGGTTCCTGGGGCTAGTAAACTACACAGGAGAAGATTGCCTATCTTTCTCCCTCAACTCTGCTCATGGATTTGAACCACTAGAGAAATGCTGCTTTTCGGTTAGCAGAGAAACTCCTTATGGACTGGGCCCCTAAATGTTTCTCTAGGAACTGTAATGAGAGGTATTGATATGGACATTCTGAAAGTTGGTCTAGTGCTCCAACCTCAAAAGCATTAGGGCAAAGCAGCCCTTTCACTGAGATTGTGATGCATTAGAAATGTAGTTTTTTAAAAAGCCTTTTAAAAAGCCTTGCTTTTGTGTATGAAGACACTTTACTGTCAAAGAACTCTTGAATTCTTTTCATGGACCAGTGCCATCTATTTCAGAGGGCAGCGTTTTTAATGGAGAGTCCTTGGTTGGGTAGATGGTTAACACTCTTGACTGCTAGTCAAGAGGACGAATGTTCAAGCCCACTCAGAGGCACCTCATAAGAAACACCTGGTGATCTATTTCTGAGAGACCAGCTATTGGAAACTTTAGGGACACAGTTCCACCCTAGCACACGAATCGAGGTGCACACAACGGCAACAGACTTATTGTTAGTACAAACCTTTAGTGGCCTATGCCAAGCCTGTTATGCTTTGCAAGGTTTTGAAATGAATAAATAGTTAAACAACAAGATCATAGCTGTGGATGGCTGCCAGAAGGGCTTATGGGCCCTTTGTGTACTTCTTGTCCCAAAGTCCCACGCAGATGGGGAGAGTGTTCAGAGCAGGCTGGAACTGCAGCAGGCACTCCGGTGATGCTCCTGGCTTTGCTCCCTTCATCACTGGCCATATTAGCATTTGGGAAGGTGGGGTGCTTTGTTGTATTTAGGGGGCAATATTTTAACCTCTAGTAAGTATGGGAGTCATGTCTGTGGGGCCAGAGTCACCCTCTAAGAGCCACACTCCCGAATTTGCCTGTCTTAACTGCTGCTTTGATGTCTTCATTCCCATTCAGGTAGCGGTGACGTCACACATTCATAAAAGCCTCCTCCATCCTGCACACTGCGCCAGAGCATGGATGAGTCCCAAGGATGAGGAAAGTATAGCCCAGCGTCCGCCAGGAAGCCTGCTGTCAAAAGTTGATCCGAGACAAAGAGTTCCCTGAACAAATGAAAGAAGAAGCTGAAGAATTGGACTCAGTGCCGAGGAGCCCTGAGGTCCAGATGTGACAGACACAAGGATCGTCACACACAGCATGCATGCAGTCCCCCTGGATTGCTTCCCAAGGCCAGACTTCTTCACATTTAACGTCAACTAACATTTAACGTCCAGACTTCTTCACACTTAACGTCCTTCTCCAGACGTCACCACCCACAGCCATTATGCTGAACTCAGATTTGTTCTGATTCTCATTTGCAAAGATATTTGACAGTACCCTTGGAGTTCTAGTAAAAATAAGACAGTCTTAAAAATATTTTACTAACATTATTAAGGTAGTTAATTATACTTTAGGAGGAAACTTTTTTCAGCCTCATCAGCACTTCATTTTTATTTACACTCCAATGACTTATAAAAGTACTTTACCAATATGAATATCTTTATAATTATTGTACTTGTGTGTACCGTTGAGTTGGAACCAACTCACAGTTGACTCTCCAGCAAGTTTTCAGGCGCAGTAAATCCCATGGGAGGAGATTGCCCATCTTTCTTCCACAGAGCAGCAGGTGGATTTTGAACTGTGTACCTTCGGGTGGGCAGTACAACTCCTCACCACTAAGCCACCAGAGCTCGCTATCTTTAGGGGAAGTAGAAATAATATACTATTATCACCCTTTTTGGAAGCAGGAGTGGCATCCAGTTTCTAAACAACATGCCTCTAGAAATTCTATGAACTTTGATAAATGTCGATAGTTATAGAAATGCTTCAGGCCTTTTGTTTATAGATCTCTATGAGTCGTGTTTGACTCGTAGGCAATCAGCAACAACAAAAATCACCCTTTTATATTTTTCCAAATATTTTCTCATACACTATAACATTTTTCTAAATATAATCCTAACATAGTGTAGTTACTTATGCTTCAGATGAGAAACCACAGAAGGCGTAGGTAATGTATTTAAGGTCATAAAATGATTAGTAAGGAAATGATTACATAAGTATTTTAGTCTAGAATATCCCCCATTGCACTGTTTATTTTATGCAAAAAATTTGTAGTAGAATTAGATTCCTAATAAAAACAAGAAGGACCAAGTTTTTAATTCATGAGATTAAATTTGTTGAATGCAGTTGCTTGTCATTTGAGTCACATGGGGGAAACAGGAGTATTTTTATTTATTGGCAATTCTTAGAGTTAATAAGGAGTTATACAATGTATAGTTATGCATGGATAAATAATTTTGAACAAATAAAATAAATAGCATTTAACATCAAAATGTGACTGGTTGTGTAGGATGCTGTTTGATCCTGTTCACGGCATGGAGGACACGTATGCTGTGCATCTACCGAGGGCCAGGAACACATCACTGGGTCCTCCTGGCCCAGTCACTGTGTTCCAACACCAGCTTAGTGCCTGCCTCTTGTCTTTTTATAGAAAAGGCTTCTTTCTAGTGTTCAATCAACCTAGCTGCCCACTCCCCCCCGACTATGTGTCCCTTTGAAGTTCAGATAAAAGCAGTTGACAATACATTTTAAAATCTCACTTCACCTATATTTTTCATATCACCTCAACAAATGTACCATCTCCACTCATTTGCATTTTGTGTTACTGCAAAGTTGGTGTCTTAGTCTTCTAGGTGTGCAGTCACAAAATGCCACAAAGTGGGTGACTAAAGAACAGAAATTTATTTTCTAACAGTTTTGGAAGCTAGAAAAAACCTTCTGGCACCATTGGCAAAACTATGGGGTTTAGGAGACTAGCATTCCCTGTTTCTTCTATTGGACTTCAAACAGTTTCTTTCTGGCTCGGCTTCCTGGTGAGAATTCCAGTTTCCCTCAGATATACTTAATTAGAATCTACCCACATGGACTGCCAAGAGAACAAACAGATCTGTCCTGCAGAGGTTGTTTTTTGTTTTTTTTTTATTAAATTTTATTAGTTTTAATGAACATTTACAGAGATTTTGGGTTTTCATTCATTCATTGTTGCACTGTTTTCTCCACCCTCATCCCCAGTTCATTCTTCTTTCCCCCTCCCTATCACTCCTCCCTGAGAGAGACTTCACCCTGATTCATAAGGAAAAGGGGATGGCGTATTCTCTTAGCTACTTCCTGCTGAAAAGGGACGCTGTGGGTTTCAGGGTGAAGATCTTCTCTCACTACTCTAAAGGGCCCCTTCGGCAGTAGGAAACACATAGACTATTATGGAGATTGATTTTGGAATTTAGACCCGCAGAGGTTTTTGAAACTTCATCTTTGGGCATATTGACAGGAAGGACCAGTCCTTGCACAATTCATATCGTGCTTGAAAGGATGAGTTCAAGAGAGGAAGAGCCTGGATAAGATGGATGGACTTAGGGACACGGGTCATGGGGGTAGGTGTGTCAGACAGAGATAGTGAGATTGACTCAGGACAGAGCAAGGTTCAGAGCTACAAGTGGAAAACGACTCGACGGCATGTAACGACCATCACCACCTGAATTTTAACAAGATTCTCAGCTGATACATAGCAAGGCAAAGTGCATCTTAATCTTCAAAATGGCATCTTTGTTTTTGAAATATTTCAAAGACATCTTTTACAGGAAACTAGTTCAGTGCGATACAGTGTTTGATTGACTGGTTGCTGCTTCCATGAATGTTGATTGTGGATCCAGGTAAAATGGGGACACAATCCAATCCGTAGCATTTGATCTCTTCTCGCACCCATGCACCACCAGCGCCTTGAGCCTTTCCTGGCCCCATGTCTGGAGCCGTGGCTGTTGTTATTACGCACTGCCAAGTTGACTACAACTCATATAGATCCGAACCTTGCTGTATCCTGTGGCATCTTCACCGTTTCTGATATGCTCATTGCTCCAGTCACTGTGTCAATCTATCTCTTTGGAGTCTTCTCTTTTGCTGACTCTACACTTTTCCCAGTATGATGTCTTTTTTCAAGGACTGGGCCCTGTTGACGACATGCCCAAAGTATGTGAGATGAAGTTTCACATTCTTGTTTCCTAGAAGTTTTTTGTTTGCTAAAAGAACTCAGGTGAATTCACCTGTAAGGGCAGAAGTTGCTATG